TTTGTGTTACTCGTGAAACTTCAATAAAATATTTGTCTTAACCAGCCATTCCAGTCCAGGGGTCCTTTCTTCTTTTTTTTTTAACTGGCGAGCTAGCAGCTGCTGGTAACTAATGTTGGCTAATGTTGCTGGTAGCTAATAAAGTTTCTTGACTTCGATGTCCAAAGTTCTTAATTTAAGATATGTTAAATCTCCACCAGCTGTTCTTCAATCCGCACTGAGGTGCAAATCTTGTCAAACTATTTCACTTTACTTACTGAGAATTTTGCAGAAACAAGAAAAGTGCGAGGGAGCGCAGTACCGCGGTTGCTGTCCTCGGCGCCATCTTGAGTAAGAAGAAAAAGAAGAACTGACTGCGTTACAGTCAGTGGGAGAGCAGCAGCTTCACTCATGCACGGTTCATTTGCAGTTTGGACGATGTTGTTGGTGTGAACATCTCCTGCAGCTGGGGGGAATATCCTCCGCCCGTGATCGCTTTAGCACGGGTGAGGTGCCCACGGCAGTACCCGCTGCTTGTTGAGAGTAAGAGCAACACGCTCTTTCACGTCAAAAAGTCGTCATAAAAAGTCTCCAAAAACACCAGAAAAAGTCGCCAGATTTGTCGCTAGTGGCTTTTTAGAAAAAAAGTCGCTAAGGGGGTCTGAAAACCCGCTAAATATAGCGACAAAGTCGCTAAGTTGGCAACACTGGTCTCATGACAGTGACGTAAGTGAGTGCGACGTTTGTGATCAACAATGGATCATATATCGAGTGCGGGAGAAAGTATGAGCGTGCAGCACTTACTTTGAGTTTGATTCCATAAAAAGTGACAAAACCATTAGCATCCGTTGTGCATGGGAAGAAAACTTCTTTTGACAGTGAAAAAACCCCTAAACTTCCGAGCAAGCACCGAGTGCGCAATGACGTAATGGGAAACTCACAGAGAAACTCCCAGATTCTTCCACTGACCGCACCAGGGTAAACCTCCGCCTACCCTACTCTTGCTTTACAGGTGAAAATAGAGCAACCCTAACCCATCAGGACCGCTAGTAAAAATATTTTATTTTATGTGCTGGAATGTGCAGAAAATAGGTTTAAATGTTAAACAAATTTCTTCCAGTCAGAGAATGGTGCATATAATTAATTTTTTGCTTGATGCATGAAGTTAAAAGATTAAAACTAATAAAATGAATGTTAAAAAGAAACTTTTCCTTTTGATCACATTTTATATGATGGATTAGGCAGAAAGTAGAAGAGTAGAAGATCTATCGCTTTATCACCTATTCAGGTTGTAAATCATGTTTTTAAAAAGTAACTAAGAAACGAATTACTTTTGAAAATAAGTAAAGTGAAGTGTCGTTGTCAGAGGCTACAATGCACATGTACCATCATGAATTTAAAACAGGGTTTAATTTAAAACAGAAAATTCACATGTGTTACTGATCATGTGACTCTGAGGGTTTACAGATTTACACTCCTGTGACATAATATCACGGCACAAGAAATGTATATTTTTTGAGCATTGTTTATCAAGGCGTTGGCATGAACATGACAATTTATATCAGCTATGCACTGAACTTTATTTCAGTGATTTGCCACACGTTAGATTAATTAACAAATTAGTCAACAATTTATCAATTTATCTTCTGAGAGCTAAATTATCTATGATGGCTTACCCAAAAGACCCAGCAACCTAGCCCTCACATTTCGAGTGTATGGGACTACACGCCACACTGAAAGCTAAATATCAGATATTAACCATGTACAGTCATAAATCCATCTGAGAGCAAGACACTGAATTTAATTTAAACTATAAACGCAGACAAACCCTAAACAACCTAAAGTTAAAAACCCTGGTTCCAAGACCTGGAGATCATGACGACCACATTCAGCTGCTGCTTGTGTGTCTGTCTGTATTCACCCAGAAAGCTGCCCTGTGGGGCTGAAATTAGATGATTAATTTTGCTGCTGATGACTGTCCCATTTCGTCATCTTCTTCACCGTGAGAAACTCTTACGTTGCATAGTTTAAAAATAGTTTTAAAAAAATCATTTGTTTCAGAGCATTTGGCTAAAGCTCAGCCAAGTATAGCCCTGTAGACTGCACTAACATTATTAAAGGCATATCTTTGTTCTAGACTTTGAGAATAATATTCCTCCTTTCTCTCTCTTCTCCCTTTTAGTTCTGCTGAGCTCCCTATGAAGTCCATACTCAACACTATGAATCAACTATTATGTCTACTTCATTTGTCATGAAATAACCAGGAACCAGACCTCACCTGCTCATAAAACTACATGTACAGACAGTCCCCCATCTGAAAATGATTGACTGTGAATAGAAATCTCTGTAACTCCTAAAGTCTTAATGGAAAACATCTTTAAACACATTTGAAGTAAACACGAACACCAACTAAGGGTTAAAAATCCACATCCCAAATTCCCCCTCAATATTTGATACTTTCTTAACTTGATTTTCATAACTTTTATCTTGAAGGCACCCATTCCAGGTTTAAACTGCATTTAATTCTAATTGCACATCTTAGATAATAGAAAGAATTTTCTTTAAAAAAAAATGAAAAAAGTTGTAAATCCTGTCTTACTTATTAAACCCAGATGTTTTAAAATTGGTAGAGACCACAGCTCACCTTGAGAGGCACAAACCAGCAGGCACACAGAGAGCAGAGTCCAGCCAAGAAACACAACCATTCTCACCCTCCGATAAATGAAATGATGTATGAAAACTAAAGTGCTGAGAAAGCTAAAAATTCTGACTGTGAGAAGGAGTGGGAGGAGTTAAGTGGGAGCAATGCAGTGGGCGTGTGTGAAAGGCTGTGGTGAGTCAATAAATGAATAGACTAATAAAACACTGATGGCAGAACTACACTACTCACAGTATTTTGTTATATCTGTATATGTGTTGCTAGGAGACAATCCTGATCCTGCTCTATTGAATCCATGAAAGAAAACAAAAATCCAGGCACTGAGAGCGAAATGACTGCCAGTGTGAAAGCTGATGCCGTTGGTCATCAGGTCTCAGTGTGGCGGCTCCGCCTGTGTGTTTCTTACAGTGAGGAAAATCATGCCAATAAAACTACACCGCCCCCTCTTCCAGGCCTCTGAGAGCCGTTACACAGCATTTTTTTCTGATAATAAAATGAAGCCTTTATTTATTTATTTTTCCATTTAAGAATCAACTCTCACTATTAGGGAGGGCCAGCTCTGCAGCAGGAGTGTATTCATTCAGTGTAGGCTTCCTTCCCCTCTGTCTTTCTCATTGCATTTCCTTTTCCTGTTCCCTGCATGCAATTTAGAAACACTTCAATGAGAACAATGATAACCTAAACCACAGACTGAGCAAAGCTGAAAAAATCTGTTACATTATTAAAGTTCAATAGCTAAAATCACCGATTTTAACTATTGAACTGGTGGTTAATCCCATCAACAGGACACAAGTTTTCCTTTCCAGCTTTTGTAGAAAAGCACCAAAAATATTCCAATCTGCAGACAGAACACGCTTAATGAATCATATAATTAGAGGTTAGGTCAGTGTGAGTCAGAACCACCCCAAAGGGGATTACCCGGGAACCTCCATCCACATAAGTGCTTTTACAATTGTCACGGTTCTGGGTGATTTTGACCAAGCATTTTCAGTTTCTTATGTTTTGGTTTGTTTTCGCATTATGGATTATTTTCTGATTCTCTGGTGTTTTGTTGATTATAATTATAAATCTATGTTTCAGGTATTCTTGGTGAGAGATTAGTTCTTAGGTTGTGTCTGGTTCATGGCATTTCACCTCCTGTGCACATTTATAGTTTTTAGTTTTATAGAGGTCAGTACTCCATATTCCCAACACGTGTCTCTGTAGTTGTATGAATTCCCAGCCACAACTGTAGCTTATCCTTATACCCAGTGATGGGTTTGTCTAGCATAAACCTATTTGCTGGAACGTTCAAGATAATTCTACTGCACAGCAAAGCAAGAAACAAGTAGACAAAGTTCTTGTGTTACTCGCGCATGAGGGAGAGAACTGGATGAGCGCCAACTCTATTAGAGCACTTCGCTCTCGCTCTGCAGGCCTACTTGTTGTTCCTAGAGTATTTAAAAGTAGAATGGGAGGGAGAGCCTTCAGTTTTCAGGCCCCTCTTCTGTGGAACCAGCTTCCAGTTTGGATTCAGGAGACAGAGACTATCTCTACTTTTAAGATTAGGCTTAAAACTTTCCTCTTTGCTAAAGCATATAGTTAGGGCTGGACCAGGTGACCCTGAATCCTCCCTTAGTTATGCTGCAATAGACGTAGGCTGCCGGGGATTCCCATGATGCATTGAGTTTTTCCTTTCCAGTCACCTTTCTCACTCACTATGTATTAACAGACCTCTCTGCATTGAATCATATCTGTTATTAACCTCTGTCTCTCTTCCACAGCATGTCTTTGTCGCAGCAGATGGCCGCCCCTCCCTGAGCCTGGTTCTGCTGGAGGTTTCTTCCTGTTAAAAGGGAGTTTTTCCTTCCCACTGTCGCCAAAGTGCTGCTCATAGGGGGTCATATGATTGTTGGGTTTTTCTCTGTATCTATGAAGCGCCTTGAGGCAACTTTTGTTGTGATTTGGCGCTATATAAATAAAATTGAATTGAATTGAATTCAATCCTTCGCTTGACCCCAGTTGCTCTCATCTACTCCCTCGTAACACTGCTCTTTATTGAGGTTACATGAATATGCATGAGTTCATTAACATATGATGTCTTACATAGATATACATGTAAACAAAGAGTACCAGTCTGTGCATAGTGTAGGTATGTGTGTGTGTGTGTGGGTTGATATACCGTATATCAGCAAGAGACATTACGACCTCTCTCATGATCCTAGGAGGTGGGTGATCTATGCCAGGAGTGAACGCACTCCCCTCTTCACACCACACAGACTTGTTACAGACCCCCTAGGATGAGACATTCTTTCAATCTACAAATGATTATACATTTCTAAATATATATAAATATATATTTCTAAGCATAAATGACAATCCAACAATATGAACCTGACACCCAGTTAACATTTGCCACCACTAACATTATCTGACAACAGTTTACTGAGTCCTGCTGTTGACAGTTCTCAGGACATAACATGTATGTATTCTGTACTAACAGTAGACTGAGACGACAACAAAAGTACATGAAGTAAATACATATGTATAAATACACAAATCAACAAATCTTTAAAAACTTGAGTTTGCAGGACACTTTGGAAGAGTAGCTTCTGCTCACATTCATGCAGAACCAACATCTCCCTCTACTGGACGTAAAAAGTACCTCAGGGAGGTTTTAAGTTAACCCATTCATCTTCAGAGAATCCAGAGACGTCCCAGTGCACAAAGGACCAGGCTGCAGACTGTGAATGCTGAAGGTGTTGAAGCCCTCAGGCAGCACTGCAATAAACACAGACTTACAGGTCACTGCAGGAACTCAGGAACACCTCTGAAAATCATCAGCAGCTAACCCAGCTTATCACTACATATACACTAGTTACTTTACTAAAAAAGGAAGATTAGTTTGGACTCCTCTTCCTGGTCATCTGTGCTACATGGGTGGGATCATGTTGTGCTATTTGGCCTTCACTGGGTCTTGACTGGAGTGTTTCTGGTCCAACACACTGGTTTCCATTGTGGCTTGGGCTTCACTCTAGGCTGCAGCCACTTGGGGTTTCTGGGCTTGTATTGGTTCCCATTACCCTAAGTGTGTGACGGTTTTCAGGCTCTGATGATTGCCTGTTGCTGTTTCTGCCAAACACTTAACCCAGGGAGAGCCAAAAAAGAAAAGAAGAAGGGAGGATAATTATGTATTAGAAGAATACAAGATGGTTTATGTCTCAACCTGTAGCTGGTGGCTCATACGACAATTTGCAGCCTTTTTCAACTACACGAAATACTTTTCTGTGATTTTCTAAGGTTTGTACATTTGTTGTAGGATTAGGACATGCACTAGCATAAACATGTACTATCTCGAAGGAAATGAGCTTTTTATGGGTGGAACCAAACCAATTTCTGTGTATTTGGGGAATCTATTGATTGATATAGCAGCAGGGACCGCCAAGCTCCCAAACATAAGTTAGTTTAGTTTTTTCTCTCTCTCTGAACAACAATAATTTAATGCCAGAGAAATCTGAACGTGATTTCGAGCTCTTGCTTGGTAGAAGGAAGGAGAAAGAGAGAGAAAACTAAGCAAAGGGAAGAGCGCGCAAACAGATGATTTAACATCCTGATTACCACCATAGGTGTCAACAATCTAACCAGAACGGCGAGCCCTAAAATAACCCAACAGGGACTATGACACATGCTTTTATATATGGAAACAGACATATATGAAGAGGAAGGACTGGGTCACTATATGTTGTCACTGCTGATGAGAAACAGCAGATTACTAAGAGCAACAATGGAGGAAACATTTCTACTTTATCTCTGTGAGTAGATTCTCTCTGTTTACATTTCTGTACTTTAACCATCTGCTGTTGATGAGTTGTTATGGAGAAGGCACGAAATATTTACGTCAGACTGAATTCATCTTAACAACAAACTTGATCGATATTGTGAGTGATCAACGGTCATGAGAATTTGCATATTAATGATCACTGAACTGACTTCACAGCCCATTGTTCGTCAGTGGTGCTAGTTTCAGTCATACTTTATAAGATTGGGAAAACCTGCAGTCAGCTGAGACTGAAGAAGTCACTTGGATGAGCGACGAAAGGTTTCCCGCACTGAAAACGCTTCGTCCAGATGAACAGAATAAACTTTTTTAGATTTTTGAGATATACAGTAATAAATAAGCAATAAAATAAAAAGTAGGCTAAATGAGTGAAGAATGAGTTGTTGCCAGTGTTGATGTATACTATCTTGCTACCCAACCATATTAGGCAAAATCTTGAGGTGAATGTCATTGTAAATTGGTGCTATATAGACAAAACTGAATCGACAACAAATGGCCAATCATATTGCTGTAACTCAGTATGATTGACCACCTATTGCATCCAAGTTGTGCAGAAGAACATTTCTGACAACCCAACATGTGGAAAGTTAAAGCTGATGTGCCACAGCACCACATGCATTAAAGAACCTTTTGGATTTGGTGAAAGGAGAGCTTTGAATTGTGGACAAGTAGCTGACAAATCTTCAGCAACTGTGTGATGATATCTTGTCAATATAGACTAAATTCTCTGAGGTGAATAAATTTATGCCATGAAGAAGGCAAAAGATGGTGGAAACCAGTACTAGCAAGAAATGTTATATAAAGTATCCATTTAGAATTCGAGATCATTTATGGAGACCAGTTTCATCCCTTCTGTTTCTTTATCTACATATGATAGTATTTGTGGATATACCCACCCTGCTGCCAGTCCCCTCTGAGACCTCCCCCCAAACTGCAGCCTCAATTCACATTCAATTCGTCTGCCACTACCTGCTAGAAATGCTGTCAAACCTGAAGTGAGGCTGTGGTCTCAGTGAGTGAATTGAGCAGTATGATGTCCCCGGTGCCTGCAGACATCTTGTTTGGTAATGCAGCAGCAGTGTGGTGTCCTTTCCTCTGATGTTACGGTAAATGGGTTAGACCAGTCTCACCAATGAGGCAAGCTGTGGCTCAGACTGTCTGTTAAACAGCTGCCAGCTTAAATTAACAATCAATATTCTAATTCAAGATTATTAAGTCATTCTCAATACAAGTAAAGCATAAAAGTCACTTTCAGCTTCAGTGAATAAAACTAAAAGCCTTATTTCAGGAAGTAGAGCAGTTAGCACTATGAGTGTTAAACGCAAACGCAGTTGTTGTGCGTTTGCGTTTAACACGAAGATGATGCATTAATCTGTGTGGAGCATCTATTTTTTCAGTCTGTGATTAACAGGAAATGAGCAGCTGTGCGGTGATCTAGTTTCCTGTTTCTGATGAAAACACTTTAACTGCTCAGGTTTTATTTTTAGGACTGCAGAGTTTTCTTGCACAGTAGCAGAAAAGAAAATCAAGACATTACTTTGTAGTTCTTGGAGGTGTCTGCCCTATAAAATGCTATCCCAGGTTCAATACTTTGTAACCCAGATGCAACATACCCCTCTTGTCTATATTTGTTTATGGTACGCCCTCTTTACCCTGCACATTAAAAAATACAACCTATATATGAATGGCATGGATCTCTGCAGCTTGATCTCATTGCAGGCCTATCCAAACTTCTCGCTGTACTTTTGGAGGGCTCTTTACTGTGTAGTCCTGTTTCTCCTCACTTCTCTGGTGATGTTGTTGCCTTCTTCCATCTTCTTTTTCTTCCATCTAGTGTCTCCTGTGGTTGCCACATAATAAAAGGAGACACCAGAGTTTAATGTTCCTTGGTAACCTTTAGAAAACTAAATTGCTTTCCTCTCGGTGATTCAGTGAACTGTTTTATTTCTCTTCAGTTCTGATCTTGGTGCTGAGCTGCGCAGCAAATCAAGGTCAGTAACCTTTTTTTCATTTATTTATTCCAATTATGTTAAATGATCAAGTCTGTTACTCCTTCTTTCAGTGGGGGTCACTAATGTAAAACTACTGAAAGTAGAAATAATTTTGTGGCATTATTTTAAAAAAAAGATCAACATAATTTTAATTTTCACCCTCACAGCTCGTCTGACTGTGAGTCCCAGCAGCTCTCAGTTCTTTGAAGGAGACTTTGTGTCTCTGAGCTGTGAGGAGGACGACAGCTCTGCTGGATGGACTCTGAGGAGAAACAGAAACATGGAAAACGGGACTCTGTGTGGGGTCGACTGGGGAAATAAGAATAGTTCTTCCTGTAAAATCACTGATCTCTTTACATGGGACAGCGGAGTTTACTGGTGTGAGTTCAATCAGAGTACCATCAGTAACATGGTTAACCTGACAGTCACTGGTAAGCTGAGTGTGTGGAGTTAGTGTTGATGAAGCTGTGTGTAAATGGATGAAATGCTGTAGTTTGTCTCTGTGTTGAGGTGGATCAGTGATCCTGCAGAGTCCTGTCCTCCCTGTGATGGAGGGAGATGACGTCACTCTGCTCTGTAAAACAAAGACCACTCCCTCCAACATCACAGCTGCTTTCTTCAAAGATGGCGTCTTCATCGGAAAAGAGCCTACAGGTCACATGACCATCCAGCATGTTTCCAGGTCTGATGAAGGCCTCTACAAGTGTGACATCAGCGGTCATGGAGAGTCTCCATCCAGCTGGATCACTGTCACAGGTGACACACTCAGCTGTCTGTGTTTCTGCAGCTTTCAACATTCACAATGTGACGACAACTTAATGACTGTGTTTGCTTTGTTTTAGAGAGACCCACCACCACACCTCCACCTACATCCACACCTCCTCCTGGTTGCACCTCTTGTGATACATCACTCTCCCCGCCTGTTGTCTCTGTGTTGTCATTCTTTTTAACAGTCTGTGTTTTAGCTCTACTTATTTCAATAATTCTGTTGATAAAACTTTGTGTTGTTAGAAAACATGAAGGTGACACTCGGACCTCTGGATTTGACTCAGGTTTTGTTTTTTCAGAACTATGTACAAGTATATCAATGACTTTAAACGTGTCATCAAAACTTGCACAGCGTCATACTGCTTTTCCTTTTGGTTTGCTTCAGCTAATCAAGTGGAAGCTATAGAAGACAATCCAATGAGTGACGACTTATGTGACATCGGACAGAGCAGAGGTGGTGTTCTTGTTCTTTGTTTCTACTAATGAACAAATAAATGATTGAAAATGATTATCTGCTCTTCTTCCCTTTTCTGGGAGGCAGTGGGGAGGTAGAGCGTACAGCCCGATCCGGCGGGGAGGTGTGGGAAGCCAGATCAGGCGCCCCCCTCCGGCTCTCCTATCTTGTCCCTTTTGTCTTACTTCTATCACCTTTTCTACCCCTTTAAAGAAGTGAGGCTCCATAAATGCTAAAGAGTTAAGAATTATTTCTCAGTTGCAGTGAATAGATAGAAATAAACTGTAGGAAACTAAACAGAAGAAAGAAGAAGAGAAAGAACAATTTAACATAAACCACAGACACACTCCAGGGCCTGATCAACCCTGGCAGGGCCTCCTTGATGAGGGTGTCTAGTGACAATGGCCGAAACACCCGATGAATCCAAGGTCCACTACTGGCGATGTGTCCCAAATCTTAATATGATAATCTAGATCAGAAATCTAATCCCCAGCAGATTAGCCTGGGTTAAAGACCGAAAGTTGAGGCACACAACGATGTCTCTGGGCTGTCTTTCCTCATAACAGCCATCCCTCAACAGTCTCGCCATTTAAAGCATCAGGGATCATTATCAGGGACTACAACATCTAGTCCTTTTACTGAATTGAATAAATAAATCACTCAAACAAATAGCTCATCCTTCAGCTACCTTTTGACTGCCAATTGACCTTTGACCTGTCTGTTTACATCATTCTCCTTGTGTGTGTGTTGGTTCTCTCTGGGCGCTCCAGCTTAGTCCCACTGCCTAAGACATATGAGTGAAGTTATTTGGTGATTCTCGAGTGATTGTGATTGAGTGTGGATAGTTTGTCTTGCTACAGTCTGTTTTGTATTGCATCTTTCACACTAAGCCTGGGATAGTCTCCAGACCCCACTTGAGCACAAAGTGCTAAATATTTTTTTAAACAGGTCGAGGAAAGTAGTTGTTGTGTGTTTGTTGATGAACCATAACAGGGAGCATCTATTGCTTTTAGCCTATGATTAACAGGAAACTAACAGCTCTGTGGATTCCAGTTTCTGATGAAAACACTCCAGTGCTGTTTTATTAATAGACATGAGCCTCCAGAATTTTGTCCATCGTCCTCAGCCTCTCCAGCTTTTTATATACAGATGTAAATTGACTGATACTAAAAAGAACGCATAGATATAGATAAAGGACATGAATGACCTTTGTATCTTATTCAAATCAGCCGCAGAGGTAGCTTTCAGGCTGTATAACTTGCATTGATGTCCTCTGTGTGTTTTGTTCCACAGGGATAAATCGGTATGCACTCTACTCAACAGTGAGGAAAAAAACACCACTTATTCACAAATCGTGAAAGACAAGAGAAACAAATCAAAGTCAACAGGTACGGCTTCTCTCCTTTGTCTCTGTCATTGTTCCGAATCAGAACAAGATTCCAGCACGTTGATATTTTAGTCTGTATCAAAAGGACACTGTTACTGTAAATGGACTGGTTTCATTTTCAGCTAAGGATTAAACCACCAACCTTCTGATTGTTCCTTCCATTAAGTTGATTCTGTATATCTGCACGTAGTGTTTTCAGTGGGTGAAACTCATCCAAGTGACTTCTTCAGTCTCAACTCCACAACCTTATATCTTTAAACATTTGCATAATGACTAAAATTAGCACCACGGGATGAAAAACAATGATCCTGTCACAAAACGGCCAGAGACCGAGCACCAAAAATCAAACCCACGTGCAGGAAACCCAAGGCGGAGGCAGAGTAAAGGGTTTAACAAAGGTTTATTAACTAACACCAAAATGACGTTGACGTTAGTAGTTGATTTAAGGCTTGATATATGGGGCGTGAGGGTCTTGGCCAGGGGAGAGGGACAAGCAAGGGGACATGTCCAAGAAAGCAACGGCAGCTGCTGGTGATTAGGTAAGTACTGGAAGAGAGGAGAGCAGTGTTACAGCGGTAGCCAATGAGGAGTTCTGGAGAGGGTGGAAGCTGTGAAAATCTTCGTCTTACTGTGCAGGTGGGAGATGGAAGCGTTGAGGGAGAGGTGGTGCGGTCCAAGTGGGTTAGGTGGTGTGTGGCAGCTGTACTGAGTGGGGAAGGTCCCAAGGTGGTGTAAGGGCAGGAGGGCAGGCAGGTGAGGCAAGGAGATGATTCCAAGAGCTGGCGGGTTAACCAGATTTCCGAGATGAGTGGTTCAGTATGATGGAGTTTTCCTGGAGTAAATAGGGTAGTTGACGAACTGGCGAGGAAGCAGTATCAGCAAGCAGCTTAAATCTCCAACCTGATTGCCTCAATCAGCTTCAGGTGATGGGGGCTGTAGGCCCTGCCCATGGTTGGATACCAGGGAGGACCAGACCTTCAATGGAATTTTACAGCCACACACCCAGACCATGACAGATCAAAGGACACTGATCAATGGCCATGAGTGCCATTCACAGAGAGTTGGGGAATGGCTGCAATCACAGCATTGTAAGATGGTGACAGATGTACCCTTAGGCCCTTTTCACATAAATGGTCTCCATGACTTTCTGCTCAAACCAGCTTTCATGTGTACATCCTCATCATTGAAAGAGTGCCCACTGGCCTGTAGGCATATATAGACTGTGATGTTTTTGGCATTTGTGCCAGGGTGCTCGATTCTTGGGGCAGACCAGTTTTTGGCGCAGCATATTTTGGGGTTTTGCGTCAGTATTGAAAAAGCTGAGATGCACTTTCTTTAATTAGTGGAGCAGGAAAAAGAAAACACCAAGAACTGTGTTTAAACCTGTTAAATTAACATAATGATAATTGTCTTTCCAGAGTTTCCATCAGACCCAGATGCCATCTCCCCCCTGAAAGATGTAGTCCACCAGTCCAACCACTGCAGTCCAGCTGAGGGTCTCGAAACACCCCAGATAACAATTACTTGTATAACCAATTATTAGATATCTTCTGTTTTTTACATGGAGTTACAGTCACACAACTTTTGTGAGACAAGAGAATCAATTGAACAGCGAAAAAGATTTTTTATTGAAAAAAAAACCTTTAAAAATGTAAATGCTAAAGACTAAAACAAAAAGCAATAATAATAATTGTCTTTATCACCACAGCAATTATCTGGTTTCTCTGCAGGATCGGTTCGCTTTGGTCTCATTTCTTTGTTCTTATTTGTGTGGTTCTCTGGGTTTTACAAAGATTTCTGATCAAAAATTTGAGGCATTGTGGCAAACCCGTGCACACTTCTCTTCACTTTAACCTGACTGTAAACAGCATGAACATCATTCAGAAGGTCGACAGTGCACCGAATATATTTAGAACAAACTGAACGTGTCTATTTGTACATTTTGATTCAAGGAAATTGAATTTATGAGACTTTACTTCAGTTGTTTTTCAAACTAAGCATGCCTCCATAGTATTATATCTTTCGAATTATGCAGCTGCACACATTCATCTTAGCGTGTTTTTCAGTGTCTGTGGACACAGGGTATAGATTTTCTTTTAAACTTCTATGGCTGATTGCTTTGCT